TGTTTTGTTTTATTTTGATTTTTAAGATCGCCATTTCAGAACAGCTGCATGCTAATGAAAACTATCCGGTAGAAGAAAATTGATGACAGGAGACATTAGCTAGAGTGACGTTTTAAGGTAACTAGAGGCAATGGATTTTAGTGCACAGATGGAAGGAATGGTTTTAGAAGGTGCATGGCTGTTCCTGTATCATAAACAAAAAGGAAGCCTGGGTATACGGTAGAGATGCTGGGTGTTGGCAGATGTAGTGATGTCAGTGAGTGAAAGATGTCCTCTAATTTCTGGCATTTTCATAATGAAATACAGAAGCAAGATCATTAGCTGAGGATGAAGATGAAAGGCAGCATTGAAAGTCTGAAGAGAAATAAAAGGTATGGGAAAGTCATCTCGGAAAGTGGTGGAGGGAATGACTATGGAAATGCAGTAGGATTTTGTCAGCACACTGATGTTCTTTTCTTAAAAAATATATTTTTATTGATTTCAAAGAGGAAAAGAGCGAGTGAGAGATAGAAACATCAACGATGAGAGAGAATCATTGATCGGCTGCCTCCTGCATGCCCCACACTGGGCATGTGCCCTGACCAGAATTCGAACCATGACCTCCTGGTTCATAGATCGACGCTCAATCACTGAGCCACGCCAGCCAGGCAGCACTAATGTTCTTGAGGCTATACCAGTGGTTGGCAAACCGTGGCTCATGAGCCACATGCGGCTCTTTGGCCCCTTGAGTGTGGCTCTTCCACAAAATACCATGTGCGGGCACACATACAGTGCGATTGAGACTTCGTGGCCCATGCGCAGAATTTAAGTTTAAAAAATTTGGCTCTCAAAAGAAATTTCCATCGTTGTACTGTTGGTATTTGGCTCTGTTGACTAATGCGTTTGCCAACCACTGGGCTATACATTTAAAGTGGCTCCACCAGCCAAAGTTTTTCTCTAGTTACATTCAGCTCTCTGGGTACACATCTGGAATAGGCTGAGTTGCATATAGACAGGGCAGGGTGACATAAAGACTGGCCCTGTAGGGAGGGGACTGACATAAAAGGGGTGAAGAATAGTGAGCTGTGACAGGATCAAGAGATTATAGATCTCAGATAGATCAAATATTTTTTTTTGTTTGTGTTTTTGGAATTGGGGTATTAGAGGAAATGAGCTAAAAAGATAGGAGGCAATGGCCCAAGAGTGGATGGAGTGTTTGAAATTCAAGATTGCAAAAGGGATACAGTTATTATTATTACTGTTATTATTATTGACAATATTTAGTGTATAATCATGAAATTAAAACTCCAAGATAGACTGAAGTTTCAAGGTATATGGAGAGAGGAGGTTAAGAGACTGAGAAACAAAAGTATCGAAATATTGCATATGTTGATATTGAAATCATCATTATGACAGGAATAGCATTAGGAGAAGTGAGAGCAAGCTATGTAATAAAATCTTCAGAAGTAGTTTGAGGGTCTGTAGATTATGCTAAAAGGAGGGGAGGTGAAGGGATAGTGCGACAGCATGAGCGTAGAAGTTAGCATTTCTTTGGAAGGAGAGAGGGACAATGTTGTTGATAAGGCTGTAGGAAACTAACCCCTCCCCCCTCCACAAGACCCAGCCACCTTTGGGGTGCTGCAGAAGACACAGGTTCCTTTGGGAAGAGTCAGGTTTGAGATAGAGCGAACAGTCTGTTGTTGGCTGCATAATGGCCTCCAAAGGTATCAGTTCCTAATCTCTGGAACCTGTAAATGTTACCTTATTTGGAAAAGGGGTCTTTGCAAATGTAATTAAGTTAAGAGCCTCCAGGTGAGGATTATGCAAGTCAGCCTTAAATGCAATCACCTGTATCCTTATAAGAGCGGGGCAGAGGGAGATGTAACACAGACAGAAGGAAAGGCACTTGGAAACGGTGGACGGGACAGAGATTTGAAGGTGATTCCTTTAAAGTTTGGAGTGAAGTGACAAGACAAGGAATACCAGCAGCCACCGGAAGCTGTAAGAGGTGAGGAATGCGTTCACCCCTAGAGTCAGTGGAGGGAGCACAGTCCCACTAGGGAGCCTAGGCCCTAGGGAGACCAGGCCTCGGGAATCGAGAATTGAGAGAATTCTGTTTTCACCAGGTTTGTAGTCATTTGTTGCAGCAGCCGCAGGAAACATCTGCAAAGGTGGAGGGGACATTCAAAGGAGAGAATTTCTGATGGACCTTAAGTTCCAGAGAGCACAGGGGCAGTGGGAGGACTTGGAATTGTAGAGGCTGCATGAAACCGTTGTAGTCACCCATGACATAGGGCGAAGAGAGTGGTGGGATTAGCCCTGATGGCCTCCGAGGCAGACTTTGAGACTTTGCCTCAAGGTGGAAGGGGATATATCATGCTGGGATACAGAGTTTTGGAGGCCCCTCTTAATTTCTACAACTCAAGGTGTGAAGGACACAGAAAAAAAACTTTATAGAAAGCATGCTATATATACACATTTGTGTGTGTACTCAGAGTACAGTGGGGCCTTGACTTACGAGTTTAATTAGTTCCGAGACCGAGTTTGGTCAGGAGCTCGTTAAGGAGCTCATTAACTCAAATTACTCTATCAACTCAATGCAAAAAATCAGCCGAGGGACAGCTGGTATCTTAAAAAACTCGTTAGTCAGGACACTCGTAAGTCAAGGCCCCACTGTAAATAATGTGTATACATTTATGTGAATTTATATGTATATTCATGTTTAGGTGCGTATAAATATATTCATATATGTATATAAAGTGTCTTTGCATAGTATTTTTAAAGCATGGAAAGATGGAAGGGTAAGAGGTTGGGTAGGGGAGGAAAAGTATTAGAAACAAAGAGGGAAAGCAAAATGCTGGCATGCAGAAAAAAAGAATAAATGATAAGATATGCAAGATTCGCATTTAGGTATTGATATAAAATTGCATAGATGTGTATAAGAAACATTTTTAATGAATTTAAAATACATTTAGAAAAATATAGTCTGTATAGCCATCGAAGTGCTCAGGGACCTTGGTGAAAGTTAAATCCAAACATACATGGTGCTAACAACCTGATCCTAGTTCCCCCTGCATTTGCTTATTTGCAGTTCACTGCAGTTATGATTCAAACGAATCCAATGTGTGCAGACAATTCAACTTATAACAGTTCCAGCTTGGCCTCTCCGACTCATCTCTGGACTCCTTTGTATCTGTCTACTCTCAGTGGCAGGTTGAAGGTGTTGCCTGAGGTGACCTTAATGTGGGTCTGCTTTGAGAACCTGATCTAATATTGTGGCACAGTGAAAATGTGGCTAAGAATTTATGGAGTTAGGTGTGTCTATGGCCATTTAAATTTTCTGGTCACCGAACAGGCTTATGATTTCAAATCTAAAGTTCTTTCTGTGAATGACTAGCAAACAAGGTATTTTATCCTTATACTGGGAAGCTAAACGCATTTAATTTTTTAGCATCTCTCAGCCCCAAAATTTCACTCACATAACAGATGAATGTAGGTCTTAGGCTATGCATTCTTATTCTGGACCTTCATCATCCAGAGACACACCAGAAAAGGAAAAAAAATGCATGAAGGATTGTTAGAAAAGTTTCTATGGTGATTTTATACATCAGTTCTACTTAAATTCCATTTCTGTATACTAGTCACAGACTGTGGTGCCAGACTAGCTGGGCTCAAATTCTGGTTTTACAACTAACTGGTTATGTGTTTTGGGGCAAGTTACTTAAGCTCTCTGTGCCTGAGAGTCTTCAACTATAAAATGTGATGATAACATAACAATCAATAGCAATAAGGTTGCTGTGGAGAGGAAAGAAATTAATCTATGCACTGCACTTATTTCTGGGCACATCGTAAGTGCCGGGTAAATGCAAACTGTTTATAATTATTATTATTATTGGTGGGGCTCTGAGGAAATAATCCTTCCAAAAAATGGATGAGTGGGGAAGGAAAGATGATATAAAAACTGTAAAGTGCCCTGGCTGGGTGGCTCAATTGGTTGAAGCATCATCCCTACACTGAAATGTTGCTATTTTGATTCCCAGTTAGGGTGTATACTTAGATTGTGGGTTCAATCCCTGGTCAGGATGTGTGCAGGAGGCAACTGATCCACATTTATCTCTCACATTGATGTTCCTCTCTCTCTCTGTCTCTCCCTTCCTCTCTCTCTAAAATCAATAAAAACATATAAAGTGAGGATAAAAATGATAATCTATAATAATAAAAGTGTAATATGCTAATTAGATCAGATGTCCTTCCGGACGACCTTCCAGACAAAGCCAGGGCTGCAAGGGAAGCCTGGGTCCCGGCTGCCAGAGGGAAGCTGGTACCGGCAGCCGGGGGGAAGGAAAGCCTACTCTTGCATGAATTTTGTGCATTGGGCCTCTAGTAATAATAATAAAATGAAAGCTAAAAAAGTACAAGGGAAATAAAAGCCTATAACCTTGCTTAGGATTTTGGAAGCTGGAAGTATTTTGGAAGAAATGAAGCCCCCAGGGGGAAAAAAAAGATAAGAGCAGGTGCCTAGTGATTTGAATTGCATGGATATAGAGTCAGTACATTAAACGTTGAGGTCAGGAAACTTAGACAGCTCAGGAGTGTGTGTGGGCAAGGTTATTATTGTTCTGGGATAATCTCTCTGTAAAATCATTTTTAATAAGGTCAAAAATGTATCTCTCAGGTAAAGTTAGAAAACCAAAAAGAAAAGAAAACCCCACAAAAATACATACTTAATTTGTGCACCATAAAATGAGTTCAGATAGGAAACTAATTACGTCTGAATACATGTTTTTTCAAACACTTATAGAGACAGCAAAACTTCCACATAACTAGCCATTTACATTCTTTCCTTGCTTATTCCCCTGCCCAATAGCTTAGCAACAGAAAAACTGGCTTTTAACCCCACCTTGCCCAAGGACAACTTTCTCATTCTGAAAGGAGGTTTAGTCCCAATTTATAAATGCCTCTGCTTGTACTTACATTTTTATTTCAGGGAATACCAGTGAATTCTTGGCAGGCAGTAGGCTACTAATGAGACACATTGGTTCATGATCTTCTTATCAATCTTCTAAATTAGCAGTCAAATGAATTTGTCAGAGAACACAGTATGCTTTACACAAGGATATATCTTGTATTAATGGAATTGTTCTATTCAGATTTCACAGTTCCTGGGTTTTCCTAATACAAAGTGGAATCTGACCTGAGTTAATAGTGTGGGCTGTATATGGTCTTCTAACAGGAACTTCTCTCTTAGCTTCACTTTTGATCCTCTGAAACACTTCAAAGAGCTATCTGTGTTGCCTTAGACAGGGTCTTTTAGAAGTTGATTTGTGTGTGTGGATGGTAACAATAATACTAGTAATAGTGCCCTATTAAAAAAGAAGTGGCAAAACGAGTGACAAAAATTGTGTTGCTTGTCATTGATAGTTGTTTAATACTCTTGATTTTAAAATGTCATATAAGTATGCTAGTTCTAGCACAATTATACAGATTTAAAAGAAGAGATCTATTGATTGGTGCTTCAAGGTGATGTGGTAATATAATGGGGCAAAAGTTAAACTTGCACCACGAATACCTTCATCTTCCAATGCCATATTCCCTGTCGAGGAGCCCTGCCTTCCCCTCCCTCCAGCCCTCTTCATGCGTATAGCTTATTTAGTTGGCAAGCACTGAATATTCACCTCTTATTTTCTTTGGGGTTGAGGGTAGGAAACTAGTAAGACATACGTGGTTGTTATCCTTGAGAAAGGTTTCCATAAAATGGTTGGATTGGCATTTAGGAAGAAGTTTCCTCTCAAAAGGGAGTGGGAGAGACCAGAGCAACAAAAATAGAGAACCAGTGTCATGGGCTGAATTGTGTCCCATCCCTCAAATTTGTATTTGGAAATACTAACCTCTAGTATTTCAAATTGTGACTATATTAGGAGCTAGGGCCTTTTAGAGGTGCTTATGGTAAAATGAGGCCACCCTAATCCAATCTGACAGTTGATTAGCATATAATATGTATGTTGTATGTATTGTGTATTATATTCTTACCAGAGGCCCGGTGCACGGATTTGTGCACCAGTGGAGTCCCTCAGCCTGGCCTGCACCTTCTCGCAATCTGGAACCCCTGGGGGGATGTTGGAGGCCTGGTGCATAGTTTTGGCCCAATCCCCGCAGGCCAGGCCGAGGGACCCCACCAGTGCATAAATCCATGCATCAGCCCTCTAGTATGCATATAAGATCTTTGGTTAATCTCTTCCCACCCTCCCCCCACCCCCTTCCCTCTGAGATTCATCAGTCTGTTCCCTGTTTCCATGCTTGTGCGTTGAGCATCTGCCCTCTGGTGATCAGTGTGTGTCATAGCTACTGGTCAAACAGTTGAATGGATGAACAATCTATTGGTTGCTTAGGCTTTTATATATATAGATATTACCAGTCCGCAGGCCGACGCTCCATCCACTGGGCCAAACCGGTTTCGGCCATCTGTTTTTTCAATTTATTGCAAATCTTCAAAAATGTTTCTAATGTATATATTGAAAAATATCTGTGTATAAGTGGACCTGGGCAACTCAAACCTGTTTTGTTCAAGGGCCAACTGTATTCCAAAGGGGGCAAAGAAAGAATTTACAATTGCAAGTTTTCGAAAGTAAGTGCTCTAAGGAAAGGAAGGTCAGGGGACTATTAGAAGAAACCTAAGGTGTAGCCAGGTTGAGAGGAACATTGCAGTCATGTTAGTCAACATTCTTTATAAAGGGTGTCCCAAAATTCACGCAAGAAGTAATTTTGATAGCAAACACAGGTTTATAATTAAAAATTGTAAATTTTTTATTGATTCATAAAGTATATAGTATATGGTTATGTGTGGAATAGCACATTGAAAAATGGCCTCCACAGCTTTGCTGGTACATATGCACTCTTTTGTTGAATTTTCCATGACCATTTTGCATAAATGTGGCTGAATTTCGATGAGGCTCATTTTCATCTTGATGGCTTAGTTAATTGACAAAATTGTCACATTTGGGGTTCAGAAAATCCACGGGTGATTGTTGAGAAACAAATGCATCCACAATGTGTCACTATTTGGTGCAGATTTTGGGCTGGAGGCATCATCAGACCATTCTTCTTCAAAAACGTGGCTGCTCAGGCAATAACAAAAGAGTGCATATATGCCAGCAAAGCCGTGGAGGTCATTTACCCGATATGCTATTCCATACATAACCCTATACTGTTTAATTTATGAATCAATAAGAACTTTACAATTTTTAATTATAAACCTGTGTTTTCTATCAACATTACTTCTTGCGTGAATTTTGGGACACCCTTTAAAACGAGCTGATCTCTAATCCTGGAAGAGCATCAATTTCCCAGCCATTGATTGGCCTCTGTGCCTTTGCAAATTGGTGTCCCTGGAAGCCACTGTTATGGTGCTTCCCATAGTATTGGACTAAGAAATTCCGGCGATTTCACGAAGACCAAGGGCAATCAGAAGGCACGAAAATTACCCTGCGCTATTGTCATTCTGGGCTTCTGCAAGTGGTGCCTTAGACTGGATCTCATTAAATCTGCATCCCATTTCCCACCTCCAATCACTCAGCAATTACCCAGTAAGTACTTTCCAAACAGCAAATGTAGGATTCATTTTCTTTCCACTTCTCTGTCTCTTTCTTTGTTTTAAAATAGCTCTGCTTTAAAATTGGGGCCACCAGGGAAAATAGGTAATGCTCGGTTTTCATTGCACTTCCTCTGCCAGGAGGTGCTTAAGCATTGAGAGAACATTCCCCTCTGCCTTGCAGCCCCAGGAAAGTGAGCACCGATGTGAAAGCATCTATGGCTGCACAGGAAATTACCATATACCTGCCCTGCACAAACACCAGTGGGATGCAACCACTGGAGAGGCACAGAATCAGGGTGGGAGTTAGGGGCTTGAGTAATAGTCTGTGCTAGGATGTAAATTAGCTTTCCTGTGGTGCCCGGCCATTTCCCAGCCCTCTCTTAAATAAAGATAAGCCTTGGGTTTTAGGTGAGATCTCCATTTCTCAATGAACCTTGGGGAACATCAGTCCTCTGAGAACCAAAGTAGTTATACAAGCAAGTTCCTCCTTTCTTAAGGTAAAAAAACAAACAAAAACAACCCACCACCAATGAATAACTTTTCTTTCCTGGATGTATCATTTATGGAATGATCAAGATAAAAAGATTTAATGCTGTGATCCTGGCTTCTTTGTTTAGTAGGGAGAAGAATATGGAGCAAAAGGGGGACACGTTAGACTTTCAGATTATATGCAGTTTCCTTTCTATTTTATAAATATGCTCATTGTAATTGCTGCTTCCTATTAGGATAAATGCATTCACACTTTGCTTTGAACGGCAGAAGCTACCTTTCTGGCTTTTGGATTGATACAAATTTTTGCTATTTCCAAGTATGTTGTGAGCAGAGGACAGAAAGAAAAGAAGGAAAGAGAGGAGAAATTAGGGCCTTGGTAATAGCTCAGTTCTAAGTGTTGTGCACAGACTGAAAACACCACCATAGCATATACGTCCCACCATCGCCACCCCAAATCCTTATCAAAATAATGTTCTCTCTACACTGGTTAAAAAATATCCTTATGTATTAATCCAAGCCAGAATATTGATGGTTAATTAGTGAGTTCATTTATTACAGCTGATCCTTGCATGTTTCCTAGGAGATGGCAGAAGACAGTTCCAACTGTCAGCCAATGGTTGTTGGCACCAATTCAATGCCAACAGGAATCTCCAATTCTGGGGTATGAAGCGGAAGGAAGCTTTATTCAGTGCAAAATAGCTCAATTGCGACACAGCACAGCTGTGGAATTGCGCAATTGCGATACAGTATGGCAATGACAACTGTGAGCAGCCCTGGGGCTGTGGCCCCGGGACAGGCCCTTCTCCAGCCCAGCTCTGCTCTCGTGTGGTCTGCTTAGTTCTGTGTCAGTCTGCTCTGGCCTACACTGGTCTGTTCTGCTCTGCTCTTGAGAGACATCTTCAGTGTTATAGCTCAGCCAGGGAAATGCACTCTTCAGTCCTGGGTGGAAGGGAAAAGGGAACTCTCAGAACTAGAGGGGAGCTGGCTTATATAGACAGAAGTCCCTGCCTCTGACCCCTCATTGGTCCGTCCTCATGCAAGTGAAGACTCCAAATCCTTGCTGTTTGATTGGTCCAAAAGGCACTGTCCTGGTTGGTCAGAATAGAGCCACTCTGATTGGTCAGAGTTGTGCAGCCCATTGAATGAGGAAACCCTCAGTCCTACTGATTGAAATAGGATTCCAGGAACTTCTTTTTAAGGGCTGGCTCAGATGGCAGAAACACAGTGCAAATAGGCAGTTCAATGCAGGCTTCTCCCTGAACTGCAGTTTGTAGGGGAGGCTCCTGTGTAGAAATGTCTAGTAGGCTTGGTTTTTTAAAATTTGAGCCAAGTTAACCACCAGGAGCCCATCTTAGTAGGTGTCTTATTTTTCAGTGTTTACACAACCTACTGGAATAAAACCTCTCTTGTTGGAGTATTAGATTATTTTTT